GTCACTGCTTGGGTCCTCCCTTGACCCTAAATGTGTGCCTCGGTCCCCTTTGGGGTTCTGATCTCTCCCCTCAAAGGTCCTGAGCCCACCTGGGGGTCCTGACCCCCCCCCACCATTGCAAGCTGAGACCCCCCCCAAGGGGGATTGAGACCCCCACCCATGGGTGCCCCCCGCCCACCACCCCATAAACCTTGGGATGGGATCCCAGAAACCCTGGGATCAAACCAGACAGAACCCTGGGATTGGATCCCATAGAATTCTGGGATCAGATCCTGTAAACCCCAGGATGAAACCCCCTAAACCTTGGGATGGGATCTCATAAGCCTTGGGATCAAACCAGACAGAACCCTGGGACTGGATCCCATAGAACTCTGGGATTAGATCCCATAAACCTTGGGATGGGATCCCATAAAACCTGGGATCAAACGCTGTAGAACACCAGGACTGGATCCCATAAATGCTGGGATTGGATTCCATAAAACCCTGGGATCAGATCCTGCGGGACGTGGAGCAGTGTGTGGGATCTGACCCCATTCCCATTTGGGATCTGACCCCATTCCCATTTGGGATCTGACCCTGTTCCCATGTCAGATCTGACCCCATTCCCATGTGGGATCTGACCCCATTCCCATTGAGGATCTGACCCCTTTTTCTCCATTTTTTTCCCCCCAGAACCAGTGGAACCCCAACATCCTGGTGCAGATCCTGTGGGACCCCATTCCCATGTGGGATCTGACCCCATTCCCATTGAGGATCTGACCCCTTTTTCTCCATTTTTTTCCCCCCAGAACCAGTGGAACCCCAACATCCTGGTGCAGATCCTGTGGGACCCCATTCCCATGTGGGATCTGACCCCATTCCCATTGAGGATCTGACCCCTTTTTCTCCATTTTTTTCCCCCCAGAACCAGTGGAACCCCAACATCCTGGTGCAGATCCTGTGGGACCCCATTCCCATGTGGGATCTGACCCCATTCCCATTGAGGATCTGACCCCTTTTTCTCCATTTTTTTCCCCCCAGAACCAGTGGAACCCCAACATCCTGGTGCAGATCCTGTCCCATTCCCATTTGGGATCTGACCCCATTCCCATGTGGGATCTGACCCCATTCCCATTGAGGATCTGACCCCATTCCCATATAGGATCTGATCCTGTTCCCATGTGGGATCTGACCCTGTTCCCATTTAGGATCTGATCCATTTTTCCCCATTTTTCCCCCAGAACCAGCAGGACCCCAATGCCCTGGAGCGGATCCTGCAGGACATGGAGCAGTGTGTGGGATCTGACCCATTCCCATTTGGAATCTGACCCATTCCCATTTAGGATCTGACCCATTCCCATGTCAGATCTGACCCTGTTCCCATATAGGATCTGACCCCATTCCCATATAGGATCTGATCCTGTTCCCATGTGGGATCTGACCCATTTTCCCTGTTTTTTCCCCCAGAACCAGCAGGACCCCAATGCCCTGGAGTGGATCCTGTGGGACCCCATTCCCATTTAGGATCTGACCCATTCCCATTTAGGATCTGACCCATTCCCATGTGGGATCTGACCCCATTCCCATTTAGGATCTGACCCATTCCCATGTGGGATCTGACCCATTCCCACGTGGGATCTGACCCATTTTCCCCGTTTTTTCCCCCAGAACCAGCGGGACCCCAACGCCCTGGAGTGGATCCTGTGGGACCCCGTTCCCATTTAGGATCTGACCCCATTCCCATTTGGAATCTGACCCATTCCCATTTAGGATCTGACCCATTCCCATGTCAGATCTGACCCTGTTCCCATATAGGATCTGACCCCATTCCCATATAGGATCTGATCCTGTTCCCATGTGGGATCTGACCCATTTTCCCCATTTTTTCCCCCAGAACCAGCAGGACCCCAATGCCCTGGAGCGGATCCTGCAGGACATGGAGCAGTGTGTGGGATCTGACCCATTCCCATTTGGAATCTGACCCATTCCCATTTAGGATCTGACCCATTCCCATGTCAGATCTGACCCTGTTCCCATATAGGATCTGACCCCATTCCCATATAGGATCTGATCCTGTTCCCATGTGGGATCTGACCCATTTTCCCTGTTTTTTCCCCCAGAACCAGCAGGACCCCAATGCCCTGGAGTGGATCCTGTGGGACCCCATTCCCATTTAGGATCTGACCCATTCCCATTTAGGATCTGACCCATTCCCATGTGGGATCTGACCCATTCCCACGTGGGATCTGACCCATTTTCCCCGTTTTTTCCCCCAGAACCAGCGGGACCCCAACGCCCTGGAGTGGATCCTGTGGGACCCCGTTCCCATTTAGGATCTGACCCCATTCCCATTTAGGATCTCACCCATTTTTTCCCCATTTTCCCCGTTTTTCCCCCAGAACCAGCGGGACCCCAACGCGCTGGACCGCATCCTGCGGGACGTGGAGCAGAGCCGCGATGGCCGCGTTGGCTTCCAGGGCTTCTTCTCGCTGGTGGCCGGGCTCACCATCGCCTGCAACGACTACTTCGTGCAGCACATGAAGCAGCGCGGCCGCCGCTGAGACCCCCGCCCCTGGCTGCCCCCCGCCCACCTTGGGGTGCCCCCCACCCACCCGCGGGTGTCACCCCAAACCCGCCTGGGGGTGCCCCCCACCCTGGGGTGCTGCCCCGACCCCCAATAAAGGGGTTTTGTATGAACCGGGGCGCTCGCTGTTCTTGGGGACACTTTGGGGACACTTTGGGGCTGTAGGGGGACACTGCGGGGTGACAGCGGGGTCCAGGGGGTCCGTGGGGATCTGTAGGAGCCATAGGGGTCTATAGGGTCTATAGGGTCTCTGTAGGATTCCATAGGGGTTCTGTAGGGTTCCACAGGGCTCTGTAGGGTCTCTATAGGGTCGATGGGTTCTATAGGGGATCTGTAGGGTTCCATAGGGCTCTATAGGGTCTCTCTCTCTATAGGGTTCCAGAGGGTCTCTGTAGGATCCATAGGATCTCTATAGGGTCTCTCTCTCTATAGGGCCCATAGGGTTCCATAGGGCTCTATAGGGTCTCTCTCTCTCTATAGGGTTCCAGAGGGTCTCTGTAGGATCCATAGGATCTCTATAGGGTCTCTCTCTCCCTCTATAGGGTCCATGGGTCCCATAGAGTCTCTATAGGGTCTCTCTCTCTATAGGGTCTCTATAGGGGCTCCGCACGGCTCCGTTCCGGTCCCTCAGGCTCCGCCCCCGGAAGCGGGGAAAGCCCGGAAGTGCTGTGACGTCACGGCGCTGTGGGCGGGGCTCAGGCGTGCGCGGGTCCGGGCAGGGTTGGGGACAGAGGGGGGGACAGAGCGGGCGGGGTGGGGCAGAGCGGGGCAGGGACCCGGGGGTGACGCAGTGACATTAGCTGGGGGCGGGGCGGACGGGTGACGTCACGGGCAGCGGGGCGGCGGCTGGTGTGACACCGGTGGTGACGTCACCAGCGGGTGTGACGCCAGCAGCGACATCACCGTCGCTGCGTGACGTCACCGGCGCTGTGCGACACAACGGTGACGTCACCGCCTGTCCCCCACAGGTGACGCCGGTGACATCTCGGTGACCCCGCGGTGACATCGCGGTGACATCTCGGTGACATCTCGGTGACACCGCGGTGACATCGCGGTGACATCTCGGTGACATTGCGGTGACATTGCGGTGACATTGCGGTGACATCGCGGTGACATTGCGGTGACATCTCGGTGACATCGCGGTGACACCGCGGTGACATCGCGGTGACATTGCGGTGACATCTCGGTGACATCTCGGTGGCACCGCGGTGACCCCGCGGCCATGCTGCGCCGTGCCCGGGCGCTGGCTCGGGCCCTGTCCCCCGTCCCCTGCCCGCGGCGCCGCTGCCACCGGCCGTGTCCCCCGCGGGACCTGGCTGTCCCCAACGCGGGCTGGAGCGAGCGCATGCGGCGCCACTACGGCCACCAGCGGGACCGGGCCCGCGCCCAGGGCTGGACACGGCTGCCGTCCTTCCGCCAGTACCGCCCGCGTGCGTCACACTGTCACCTGTGTCACTGTCACTGTGTCACTGTGTCACTGTCACTGTGTCATTGTCACTGTGTCACTGTGTCATTGTCACTGTCACTGTCACGGTGTCACTGTGTCACCAATTGTCACTTGTGTCACCTGTCATCTGTGTCACTGTGTCCCCAATCCCCCTGTCCCCAGCCCCTGCCGTGTCCCCAGGCTGGTGACAGCGCTGTCCCCGCAGAGGTGCTGGGGCTGGCCGGCGACACAGGCGACACAGGTGACACGGGGGACAGGGACACGCGGCTGTTCCCGAGGGCCATCGAGGGCGACGGCGACGGCTTCGAGTTCGCCATGTTCCTGAGCGTGCCCGGGGGCCGCCTGCGCTGCCTGTGCCAGCTGGGGCCCTTCCTGGAGGGACACCCGGGGTGAGTGACACTGTCACCCGCTGTCACCTCCTGTGCCAGCTGGGGCCCTTCCTGGAGGGACACCCGGGGTGAGTGACACTGTCACCCGCTGTCACCTCCTGTGCCAGCTGGGGCCCTTCCTGGAGGGACACCCGGGGTGAGAGACACCCATTGTCACCTACTGTCACCTCCTGTCACCCGCTGTCACCCACTGTCACCTCCTGTCACCTGCTGTCACCCACTGTCACTTCCTGTCACCCGCTGTCACCCACTGTCACCTCCTGTCACCCACTGTCACCCACTGTCACCTCCTGTCACCTCCTGCCACCTCCTGTGCCAGCTGGGGCCCTTCCTGGAGGGACACCCGGGGTGAGAGACACCCATTGTCACCTACTGTCACCTCCTGTCACCCGCTGTCACCCACTGTCACCTCCTGTCACCCACTGCCACCCACTGTCCCCCACTGTCACCCACTGTCACCTCCTGTCACCTGCTGTCACCCACTGTCACTTCCTGTCACCCGCTGTCACCCACTGTCACCTCCTGTCACCCACTGCCACCCACTGCCACCTCCTGTCACCCACTGTCACCCACTGCCACCCACTGTCACCCATTGTCACCTCCTGTGCCAGCTGGGGCCCTTCCTGGAGGGACACCCGGGGTGAGTGACACCCATTGTCACCTACTGTCACCCACTGTCACCCGCTGTCACCTGCTGCCACCTCCTGTGCCAACCCGGGCCCTTCCCGCAGGGACACCCAGCGTGACCCCCCTGTCACCTCCTGCCCCTCTGTGACACCGCTGCCATCTCTCTGTCACCCCCATGTCCCCTGCTGTCCCTCTCACGTCACCCCCGCTGTCTCCTCGTGTCCCCAATGTCTCCAATGTCCCCAATGTCCCTGTGCTGTCCCCGATGTTCCCACTGTCCCAATGTCCCCAATGTCCCCCTCCTGTTCCCGTGTCCCCAATGTCCCCATGCTCTCCTTGTCCCCACTGTCCCTGCTGTCCCCTTGCTGTCCCCATGTCCCCTGTCCCCAGGCTGGCCCACGGCGGTGCCATCGCCACCCTCATCGACACCTCGCTGGGGACGCTGGCGCTGGCGGTGGCCGGGCGGGTGGTGACAGCCAACCTCAACATCGACTACGTGGCGTGAGTGGCACTGTCCCCCGTGTCCCCAAGGGCCGGGAGTGTCCCCAGGGGTGTCTCAAATGTCCCCAAGGGTGGCGTGAGTGTCCCCAGGGGAGGGGGGGACACACCCAGGGGGACACTGAGGTGACCGGGAGGGACACAGGGTGGCACTAGGGTGACCAAGGAGAACAGGAGGGGACATGGGGGTGACACACAAGTGACATTGGGGTGACCAGGAGGGGCACTGAGGTGACATCAGGGGACACGGGGGTGACTGGGGGGACACAAAGGGACACTGGGGGACAGGCCTGGGGACACAAGGGGACACTGAGGTGACCGGGGGGGACCCAGGAGCTGTGGCAGTGACCAGGCCCTGGTGTCACTGTGTGTCCCCAATGTCCCCAGGCCTGTCCTCGTGGGGACCTCGCTCCTGCTGGGGGTGACAGAGGTGACACAGGAGACTGTGACAGTGACGGGGTGACACAGGGGGGCTGTGACAATGACAGGAGTGACACAAAGGGCCATGACAGTGACAGGGGTGACACAAAGGGGCTGTGACAGTGACAGTGACTCTGGTGTCACCTCCTGTCCCCAGGCCTGTCCCCCTGCTCTCGGTGCTCCTGTGGGTGACAGGGTGACACAGGGGGACTGTGACAATGGCAGGGTGACACAGGGCTGGGGACAGCCTGGGAACACCGGGACATTGGGGACACTGGGACATTGGGGACACAGGGACAGCCTGGGGACATTGGGACACTGGAGACATGCTGCACGCCAGGGCCACCGGTGAGTGACACAGGGACACTGGGGACATTGGGGACATTGGGACCCTGGGGATATTGGGAACACTGAGGACATTGGGGACAGCCTGGGGACAGCCTGGGGACACCAGGGGTAGTCTCAGGGGGCTGGGGACACTCTTGGGGACACCGGGGGTCCCTGCCTGAGGTGTCCCCTCTGTCCCCAGGGCTCTTCATCCAGCAGGACGCCCCCAAGGAGCCACCACGGGGGGGGGACAGCGGCCAGTGACTGTCACCCGTGTCACCTCCTGTGCCAGCCGTGCCACCCTCGGTGCCCTCCCTGTCCCCCAGCGTCACCCTGGCTCTCCTTCAACCATCCCCGGGTGTCCCCATGTCCCCCCCTGTGTCCCCCAAAGCCATCCCCATCACCCCAAATGTCCCCCCCCAGTGTCCCCAAGTGTCCCCGGGGCTGTCCCCGTGCCCATCACAGCCGCTGCCACCACCCCTCGTGTCCCTCGTGTCACTTTGGGGTCCTGGGGGGGAAGGGTGGGACCCCCGTGTCCCCCCCCGCTGCCACCGCGGGGTCCCCAAGGGGGGACACGGGGACACCGGGGGGGGGCACCCCAAAAATGGGAAATTTGGGGTCCCTGCACCCCCAAAATTGGGAAATTTGGGGTCTCTGATCCCCAAAATTGGGAAATTTGGGGTCTCTGTGCCCCAAAATTGGGAAATATGGGGGTTCTGTGCCCCAAAATTGGTAAATTTGGGGTCTCTGTGCCCCAAAATTGGGCGATTTGGGGTCCCTGTGCTCCAAAATTTGGAACTTTGGGGTCTCTGCACCGCAAAAATGGGAACTTTGGGGTCCCTGCACCCCCAAAATTGGGACATTTGGGGTCCCTGAACCCCAAAATTGGGAACTTTGGGGAGTCAGGGGTCCCTGCACCCCAAAATTTGGATGGTTGGGGTCTCTGAACCCCAAAATTAGGAACTTTGGGGTCGCTGTGCCCAAACTGGGAAGTCTGGGGGGTCCCCGCACCCCAAAATTGAGCTCGGGTGGAGTTCGGGGTCCCCCCACCCAAAATTTGGCACTTTAGGCTCTCTGAACCCCCAAAATGAAAAATTTGGGGTCTCTGCACCCCCAAAATTGGGAATTTTGGGAGGGCCGGGAAAGTCCTGCCCCCCCCAAAACTGAACCCAGCAGTGCCGGGGGTCCCATGGGCGCACCCCAAAAATTCGGCCACTCCGGGGGGGGGGGGGGCCCCG